TCAAGATCCAGTAATTCCTCTCTTGGGTATATACCCAAATAATGGACATTCATACAACAAGGACATATGTTCAACCATGTTCATAGATGCATTGTTTGTAATAGCCAGAACCTGGAAGCAGTCTTGATGTCCCTCCATTGAAGAATGGATAGAGAAAATGTAGTAGATTTACACAATGGAGTACTACTCAGCAGAAAAAACACAATGGAATCTTGAAATTCGCAGGAAAATGGATGGAACTAGAAGAAATCTTCTGAGTGAGGTGACCCAGTCACAAAAAGACAAACATGGTATGTACTCACTCATATATGAATTTTAGACATAGAGCAAAGGATTATCAGCCCACAATCCTCATCACCAAAGGAACTAGGAAACCAGGAAGGACTCTAAAAGAAAAATGCATGGGCCCTAGAAAATGGGAAGGGTCATGACCTCCTGAGATAATTGGGAACTTGAGGGTAGGAGAGAGGGAGCTTGTAGAATGAACGGCAGAGAAGAGGAGGGGAGAGGAGGAAATGGATGAGCAGAAAGGTTGAGTCAGGGGAAGAATAGAGGAGAGCAGGATGAAAGATACCATAACAGAGGCAGTCATTATAGGACTGAGGAGAGATCTGGCACTAGGGAGATTTCCAGAGATCTACAAGGATGACACCAACTGACAATCTAAGCAATGGTGGAGAGGATACCCTAAATGCCCTTCCCCTATAATGAGCCTGATGACTACTTAATATGCCAACCTAGAGCCCTCATCCAGTGGCTGATGGAAGCAGAGGTAGACACCACATCTATATACTGAACTGAACTGGAACCCAGTTGCAGAGAGGGAGGAATGTAGATCAAAGGGGTTATGCCCAGACTGGTGAAACCCCCAGAAACAGCTGACCTGAACAAGGGGGAGCACATAGCCTCCAGTCTGCTGTCTGGGAGGCCAGCAGGGGACTGATCCAGACCCCTGAACATGGCTGTCAATGAGGAGACCTCAGCACTCTATGGGGCTCCAGGTAGTGGATCAGTATTATTCCCTGGTGTAAGAAAGGACTTTGAGAGCACATACCATGTAAAGGGATGCTCTCATGGCCTGGACACATGGGAAGGGCCTAGGCCAGGCCCAGATGATGTGGTGGACTTTGGGTAGCCCATTTGAGGGCCCTACCCTCCCTGGGGCATGGAGTGGGGATGGGGTGGGAGGCTTGTTGGGGGTTGGGGGAAGGGAGGGAGAGGTAGAAGGGATTGACATGTGAAGGAAACTTTTCGTAATTTGAACTAATAAAAAATAAGACAAAAACTAGCAGATTGAATTAGAAAACATGATCTACTGTTTTGGTGTCACCAAAAATACACATAACTACAAAAGATTGCCAGTACCATAGGAGTGAAAGGATGATAAACTAAGAAATAAACAGGCATAGCTAAAATAACATGTGGAAAGATAAACTTTAACTTAAAAATTGTTAGGAACCATAAAGAATTTCATTTCACACCTCTTAATTGGACAATCCATTAAGAGAATATTAAAATGATGAACAGATTTGCACAATGGATTGAATAAAACAAAATCTACTAAATATAATATTATTGAATAGCCCCCAACATATTGATAGTAGGTAATTTCAATACCCCACTCTTGCCAGTAGATAGGTCATTCAAGCAAAAAAGTACATACAAGGAAACATTGAAGTTAAATGGCATGCAAATCAAATGGACCTGTATATGTATAGAACATTTCATCCATACATTAACGAGTTCACATTTTTCTAAGCAGCTCATAAACTTTCTCTCAAATTGATGATGTAGGGCATAAAGCAAACATCATCAAATATAGGGAAGCTGATATAACAGCCATTCCATCTGATCATATTGAAAAAAAAAAGGATAGTCACCTACAACAACAGTAACTACAAATTGTACCTAAATACATGAAGATCAAACAGCATACTACTTACTGATGTACTCTCACTGCAGAAATCAGGAAGGACACACAAATTCATAGAAATAAATGACAATAAAGACACAACATGTCAAAAGCAATTGTATACAATGAAGGAAGTTTTAAGAGTAAAATTTATAGCTCTAAATTCACTATCAAAAAATTAAAGTTCTAAAATAAATTAATTTATGATATAGTATATTATCTTGTAAAAGCAAAGACAAACCAAACTACACACAAAGATGGACAGAAATGAACAAAATCATGTAGCAATGAATTATATAACACAAACAATCGAAACATACAGAAATTTAATGAACCAAGGACCATTTCTTTGAAAAAATAAAGTTGTCAAACATTTAGCAAAATTGTCCAAAAGAAGAGAGATTTCCCATATTAATAAAAGCAGAGATGAAAAAGGAGACAGTACAACAAATAAAAAATGAAATTTAGAATGTTACCAGGTCTTTATAAACCTATAATCTACTACTCTATCGCAGGAATTACCAACAAGGAGCCAGGTAGAGTTACAAGGGATTTTAATAAGGAAAAAGCCTTACTTACAGAGCAACCTAGCCAGCAGGCAGGCAGCAGTTTATACAGCAAGCCCAAAGCGAAACCAAAAGTGAAAGTGACCTGCTACCTGACTGCCTCTCACTCTACATCACCCCAACCCCGTGAAGGGCGTGGTCAGGCACACCTTAGCCAGCCCCTAAGTAGGTGTGGCTACAGCTTCCCCTACAATTCCCCTTTTAGTCTAAAAGAGGATTAAAACTTAACAGTGTAAAGTATCCAAAATAAACAATCATAAAGGTGAAATATAAGAAGATACAACAATCTGTTTATGTCACATCTAACTATCTATTTTAACTAAACCCTAAAGTCATCTGAAACAGGTGTCCAAGCATGAACACCTCCTTTCAATCCCAATCATATACAATAGGAAGCTATCCCTAACTAGGTATATAAACTATCCTAAGTGACAACAATGGGGGAAAGGGGGCATAGCATTCTCCAAGTTACTTCCTGTTGAAATGCGACGACGATATCCTTGTGGGGTCCTGTAAGAAGAAAATGTTAGTATAGTAAAAGTCTTGAATGTATTGTATCCAGTCCATGTTAGATGGGATTTACTTGATTGATGATCTCTCTTGAAATCCTCAACTTGATTGAAGTCAGTACCTGAAGCTCTGGCCGGAGGGTCAGTTGAAATGGAACAAGTTGGATCCAGGGCAGTCGAGGAGGTGTAGCCCATTTTCTTTCCAGGGTGTCCAGGGATTGCTGTCTGGCAGGTCTTCATTGGCTGTGTGGGTCCCAAACATAAACAGTTAGCAGAGAAATGTTTGTTTATGTATGTACACATGCCGGAAAGGCAACCACGGGAGCATAACAATTATGAGAGGGCGTAGACTTTGAAAGAAAGAGCCAAGAAAAGACAAAGACAATATCCAAATTCTTCTCTTATTCTGTACTACATCAATTGGCTTCTTGATAGAATACAGAAACTCTAAAGTTTAGTTAAATAACATGCTTGGATTTTAGAGGAGGAAAGCCAAATCCGCCTCTAAAACCAGCATTGCTTTACTTGAATAGGGACTAGAAAAGAGAAATAGAATTCTCTGAGAGACAGCTGTAAAGTTTAACATATGGCACGTTCCTTTTATTTGATGGTTATAGGTATTTTTTCTTCTTAAGCATCTACCCATTAAGTGTCCTTTGCCTTCTGGAGATGAGTTTTCCTGTGAAGATAAAAGCAAAACACTTCCCTTCCCTTTGGGAGGTTTCTATTTAGTTTATGAGATATACCTTAGTAGAATACCTGTCATTTGTCCTCGTCGAGAGGTTTTTCCTTTTGAATGTGAATCTTGATCAACCTTGAAGGTATCCAAAGTTTTTCTTCTCCTGTGAAAACCAATGCAAAACCCCTGCCCCAACATAACACATGTCCTGGTTTCCATACAGAGGTTAGTACATCTTTGATGTATACTGGCTGATTCAGTTCAGCAGTTACTTTCTGTAGTACAGTGTCTTTCTGCAGCTGTTTGTCCTTTCTCATTGGAAATAATAAAGTTTAGTGTTAATAAAGCATTATGCAACCTATGTTTGGGGGATTTAGACTTCCATGCTTGTTTGTTGAGCATCTCCTTTAGTGTTCTATTAGATTTCTCAACCACTGCATGTCCTGTAGGATTGTGTGGTATACCAGTGACATGCTTTATGCTATAATATTTGAAAAACTGTTCCAATTTTGTAGAGACATATGCTAGAGCATTGTTGTTTTTTATTTGTGCAGGTATGCCCATAACTGCCATCACCTCTAGCAGGTGTGTAATAACAGAATCAGCTTTTTCAGAGTTAAGAGCAGTAGCCCATTGGAACCCTGAAAATGTGTCTATAGTATGATGCACATATTTCAAATTTCCAAATTCTGCAAAGTGAAAGACATCCATCTGCCAGACCTCATTTCTCCAAATGCCCTTAGGATTACAATCTGATGGCAATGGAGTTTGATTATAAAAGGAACAAGTAGGACAGTTTCTCAGTATCTCCTTGCCTTGTTGCCAAGTGATGGAGAGTCCTTTTTCAAACCTTTGCTATTTACATGATGTTTCTTATGAAATTCTGAGGCTTCTAGCACACTTCCAATTAATAAACGATCAATCTCATCATTGCCTTGTGCTAGTGGGCATGGCAGACCCGTATGGGATCTGATATGTGTAATGTATATAGGATTACTTCCGTTTCTGATTGTTTCCTGTAATTGTAAACACAATGAGGTTAATTCTGTATTATCAGGAACGAACTCTACAGTCTCAATATGTAACACGACTCTCTCTGCATATTGAGAATTAGTAACTATATTAAGAGGTTTTGTAAAATCCATAAGTACCATGATAATTGCATATAATTCTGCCTTCTGTACAGATGTATATGGACTTTGAACTACTTTACTTACCTCACCTGCTTTATAACCTGCCTTACTAGATTTGTTGGCATCAGTGTAGAGGGTAAGACTCCAGAAATGGGAGTTTGTCTTACAATACGTGGAATAATCCAGACTGCATTTTTTATGAATTTAATTCTGTCAGTTTTGGGATAGTTGTTGCTAATCATTCCCAAAAAGTCAGTAAGAGCCATTTGCCAATATTCATTATCCTTCCACAAGGAGGAAATTTCTTCATTAGTTAAAGTTACCATAATTTCTGCTTTATCTTTTCCAGTCAGTTGACGAAGTCTTAATTTTCCCTTTAAAAACAAATCAGAAATCTTTTCTATATATGTCTTTAACTTTTTATTCTGTTTATGTTGAAGAAATATCCACTCCAATATGGTGTCTTCCCTCTTCATCAGAATCCAAGAAGGGTATTCTCTGGATGGCAAGATAACCAGAATACAGTCTAAATTAAGGTTTATCCGATCTACATGTGCATTCACTATTCTGTTTTCTACCTATTGCAACTCTTTTTCTGCCTCAGTGGATAACATTTTTTGACTGTTTAGGCCCTTATCAATTTAAGGGCCATTTTTAAATGCTTTAAGTCTTGTCCTTCTACACCAATAATCATCTGTAGTTGAAAAAATTCCTGTAATAATTATTGGAGAGAATTAAGAGTTTGATAACTATTCTTATTTGTACCTTTTGAGATCTGATTCTTTGTAAGTCTATCTTGTACCCTAAATAGTTAATAGAATCTCCTCTTTGTATCTTTTCTGGGGCAACCTGTAACCACCAAAGAGGCAGAACTTCCTTCACCATGTCAAACATATGTTCCAAAGTTTCCTTATTAGAATCTGATAAAAGAATATCATCCATGTAATGATAAACAAAGATTGTGAAAATTTTTATGAATTATTTCAAAAGGTTGCTGTACAAAGTGTTGACACAAAGTAGTACTATTTAGCATTCCTTGTGGCAAAACCCTCCACTGATAACTCCTAACTGGCTGTGAATTATTAAGAGTTGGTACAGTAAATGCAAATTTTTCTCTATCATTTTTCTGTAACCGTATTTTGAAAAAACAGTCTTTCAGATCAATGACTATGATCAGCCATCATTTAGGTATCAAGGAAGGCAAAGGCATTCCAGGTTGCAGAGAGCCCACTGGTTGAATTACCTTATTTATGGCTCTCAGGTCTGTCAGCATTCTCCACTTACCTGGATTCTTTTTGATAACAAATACAGGAGAATTCCAAGGGCTTGTGGACTTCTCTATGTGTGCAGCATCTAGTTGTTCCTGAACTAGTCTTTCTAAAGCCTCTAGCTTCTCAGATGTCATCGGCCATTGGCCTACCCAACAGGTTCATCTGTAAGCCACTTCAATGGCAGGGCCTTTGGCTC